CAGGGAGCCTTCCTCCTTCCATGTCACACTGCCCCCACCCCATATGCTGCCCCAGAGCCCTTCAGGGCCCGGCCCCAAATCCCATCCAAGACCACTGGGCTTTGACAGTGACCTCCAGGCACAGCCACCACTGGGCCACAGGGACCTCAGAACCCGCTGATGCTACTAAATGGCATGGTCCCACTCCGGTGCTGTCTCACCTTCTCGCCTGTCTCTCCCAGCTCGCCTGGTGCCCCACGGTCTCCCTGGAACAGGAAGAAGACAGGGTCAGGGGCAGCAGGACCCACAGGGGACAGCATGGGTCCCAGGACAGCACTCAGACCCATTTTCTCTCTACCGAAGGCAAGGCGAGAGCATCCCTTTGGTCCCTGCACCACTCACCTTCCTGCCCTGCTCTCCCGGCGGTCCCCGAGGGCCCTGCAAAGGATGGAGAAGATGTCACCTCCGGCATGGCAGGGCAAAGGCCCGGGCTGGCCAGAGCAGGAGCTCTCCAAGGTGCCCTCAGGGCTTGGCTTGCTGGCAAGGCCAGCTCCTGCCCACCTTACCTTCTCTTGGGAAACTCACCCGGTCTCCTGGGTCCCCAGGGCGGCCAGGCAGCCCTGGGAAACCTTCTTTGCTGTCTCCCTGAGCGTTAAGAAAGACAACAGTCATGTCCATGAGATGGGGATGGGCATCCCCACTGACGAGCGGTGCCGGGTCCAGCCCCAGTGTAGAGCATCCCCACCACCCTCTTACCTTCTCTCCCTTCAGACCGGGGGGCCCAGCAGGTCCCCGGGGTCCGGGGTCCCCAGGCAGTCCCTGCAAGAGAGCACAGCTCAGCCCCTAGGGACACAGCTCAGCCCCGGGGCGACATAGCTGCCACAGCTCCACTACCCTCTGCTGTTCCTGCTGGCCCGGGGGCCGAACTCACCGGGAGGCCGGGCTCCCCTCGAGGTGCTGCCCCATCCACAAGTCCAGGGAGGCCCTGCAGAGACAGGAGTCAGCTCCTGTGTGATGGCCCAGGGGGACTCAGTCCTTCCCAGCACCCTGGGGGGGGCTACAGTGCCTTCGGGCACCCATGGGACCTCCATCCAGGAGGGCAGAGGAGCCAGGGAAATGTCGAGTCACTCACCCTCTCCCCTCGGTCACCCTTCTCCCCCTGCAAGGGGAAAAAAAAATGCAGATAAGGGCAGATCTGGATTCTCCACATGCCCCCTCGAATGGAGGGGAAACATGCTGGACAGAGCCCACCATCAGTGGTATCAGGGCACATGCATACCATGTGCCTCTCCCCACACTGCCCACACCAACAACAGCTCATCCACGTGTATGTGGGCATGGGCACAGCTGGTGGTGGGGGCACAGCTGGTGGGGGGCACAGCCCATGAGTGGGACTAGGAGTGCACAGGGGAGCAGCTTCAAGCTGTTGGCTGTCCCTCCATCCATCTGTCCGTACATCTGCCCCGCTGTCCCTGCGCAGCACCGGTGGGGACATACCTTCACAAACTCCCCCGGAGGTCCTGGTGGCCCGACAGGTCCAAGTGGACCAGGGGGGCCTGGATCACCAAAGGGCCCCCGTGGGCCAGGGCTCCCAGGAGGGCCAGGGCTGCCCTGGAGGACAGAGATACTCTGTTAGCTGGGGCTGTGGCACAGGCTGGGGGTGCTGGTGGAGACCCCCCCCAGCATCACCACCCCTATACCTACCGGTGTGCCCGGCTCCCCTTTCCGGCCTGGCAGCCCCTGTCCTCCATCCACGATCACCCTGGGCTCTCCCTGAATGAGGAGGAGAAGGAAAAATCAGGGTCCCCATGTGCCCTTTTGTGTCCCCAGCGCAGGCCAGGGGCCACAGTGCCACAAGGCCAGGGACCCTGCAGGGAGACGGGGACACACGGGGGTCACCCAGACACCAAGTGCCAGGAGGTGTCAGGGGGTGTGATGTGCCCACTGGGGTCTTTGCTGCTCCCCAGGGACCCCCCACGGGGCAGCCTCGTGCCCACAACCTACCGGCTCGCCTTTCTCCCCCTTTGGGCCAGAA